GCTGCTCCCTTGGGATGAGCTCTCTCAAACCATGTTTGGAGAGGAATCAAAAACACAAAATATTTTCATGGTTTTTTTTTTTTTTTTTTTTTTTTTTTTTTTTTTTTTTTTTTTTTTTTGTTATGGTCATAAAATGTCTAAAGACATGGTGAACAGTGGGAGGGCTGGTGCTCCTCATTCCTGAAACACATCTGCAGATGTTTGAGTTAACCTGTGATGTGTGGTATTATCTTTCTCATACCTTTTTGTTGTCCATCATACTGCTGAAATTCCTTCTGTAATCTCTGTACTGGGGATTCATTATCTTTCTCTTGTCAGACCTTTAACACCACTGTCTAATTACCATTTGAGTGAGACAGATTTTCCTGTAATACAATAGACTTTATTTCTGAACATTACTTAAATTAAGGGCAAGATGCAAACTTGATGTTTTAATTAAAGAAGACATAGAGGGCTTTTTCAGTATTTGAATTCTCAAAAGTGTCATGTAAATAGGTTCTCCACTTTGTTTATTTGAAGATTTGATTTAGGGGGTTTTGTCATTGCAGAGGTCAGGAAGAGTTTTGAACTGACCACTGCTTGAAAATTGTTATACCTGTTAAATTGATAATGGTTTTGAACTGGGATCTCTTTTATCAAAGAGACATGCAGTTTGTTTCTGGGAAAACAAGAATTTCAGGATGCTTAGAAAATGGTTCTTCAGAAAACTTTCTTTAAGGACTGTGTCTTCATTATATGGACTTTAAAGTCTGATATTGGTTTTGTACAACAGTATTATTGCTAGAAATATCATGGATATTCATGTTCTTCCAAATCGATTATGATGTGTTCATAAATAGCAACTGGCAGGTGCCCAAAACAATGTTCCGATCAAGGGCAAAGATTCCAGTCCCCACCAGGGCAGGACAAGGCTGAATGTCAGTGTCCTGCAGCACACAGGGTGGCATCACTAAAAGAAGCTGCAAACACAGTAGCTGCATGTCCAGCAGCTTTGTCAACTCAGGGACCTTCACATTAGTGCTCATTTTGCCCCTGAAAAACTCTTGTCCCATGACCATCTTCTTCCCACTTGACAGCTTCTGGAAACTTCAGGTGTAAAACAACTGTATCACTTCCTTTTCTAAACTGATTCTACCTGACTGGATATTTTTCCTATCACAATAAATGTGATTTAGTTAAAATACAATATGCTAGCATGGAAGTGAACCCCAAATAATTCCAGATTATTGTTTTCTAAAAATGGAGAAATAACTTAATCAGCTGGAAAAAAACATCCAAAGAAACTGAAAACTCATTGGTAATTGATGAAGGTATTCAGTTTCGTTGTTCTTAGGTTAGTGCAACTGCAGTACATATTTGTTGCTGTCTAATTTAGCCTTTAATTCACTCTTACATTATTCACTGAGAAACTTTTTCTTAAGTCTGTTAAAATAGCAGCATATGCATTTGCAGTGTTGCATTCCCCGGGAGATGTTTAAAATGTTTAATTCTACATTCTTTTACAAAAATATATTTCAGTGTCTTTTTTTTTGCCTTCAAACTGCTGATATACTTGACTTAAGAAATTAAGTAGTTATTTTATAAATTCAAAATTTATCATGAAATTCAAGCCCCAAATCCAGCAAAGCATGTGACTATAAATGTAAGATCCATCAGAGCCATAATTTTTTTTAGGTTTGACAATTTTGCATGTATATATGTGTGTTTCACTTCAGTACACACATCAGTCGAACTACATAAAATATGTGTTTTTTTCTGCTTTTCTTATTGTAGTAATATAGGGTATGTAATGACTTCTGAATAAAAATATCTATCTATCTATAACAATGCTCACATATAATGTATTATGTATATTTATGTATTTAGAGTATGGTTCTTGCTTTAAATTTTTCACTGCTTTACTTGCTACCCAGTGCTATGCAGCAATAAAAAAATGAAGTATTGCTGATGTCCATGCAGCAGAAACAAATGAGTTTTGTTGTAAAAACTGAAATCAGAAATATAAAATGTTATGTAAACATTCTTCAGCCTCTTGTTCTTAGCGTTGTGTTTATTGATTCTTAAAATAAGACGGTAATTTTGATAGATGTGCCCTAGAGCCTGGCCTGACACCACCAGTATTACAACATCCTTTAAAAGGGGCTTTTCTGCCAAATATATTTTTCAGCAGCAGCTCCAATCAAAGTAGCTCCTGCCTATTTCTCCTTTTATCCGTGCCATTTGTGCTGTGTTTGCAGCATTCTTCTGCTGTGCCGTTCATTACAGCTGTTTCAAAAGCAGCAGCTGATAACCTGTATCAGGGAATTAGTTATTTTTAACCCTGATACAGTTCTGTGTGACCCCAAATGCCCTTAGGGTGTCTCAGGGGCAGAAACAAATGGTGTAATGCGCAGGCTTATTAAAGCAGGAGTGCCTTTGAGAGAAGTAGTTGTTGTATCTCCAGAGAGAAAAAGGGAATACTTAATTGCTTCCAGAGTCACCAAAAACTCTGGAGGATTATTTTTAAAGAGTATTATATGAGGATGAGAGGATCTGATTCAATGAGATACAGTCAATAGAAAATGAAAGAAAGAGCCTTTTTCAGACTAACTGAAATAAATCAACTTCACTAAACCGTGTCCCTAAGTGCCACATCTACACATCTTTTAAATACCTCCAAGGATGACGATTCGACTGCTTCTCTGCACAGCCTGTTCCAATTTTTGAGCACCCTTTCTTTGAATAAATGTTTTTTAATATCTGGTCTAAACCTCCCTTGTTAAAACTAGAGGCTGGTTCTTCTTTGACACTTGTTACCAGAGAGAAAAGATTGATCCTCAACTTGCTACAGCCTCCTTTTAGAAGCAGTTAGGCCTTGGCTGAGCCTTCTTTTCTGTAGGATAAACACACCCAGCTTCCTCAGTCACTCCTCATAAAACTTGTACCCTAGATTCTTCTTCCCCAGCTCCATTGCCCTTCTCTGCACATGCTCCAGCACCTCATTGTTCTTCTTGTAGTGAGGGGCCCAGAACTGGATGCAGGGTTCAAGGTGTAATCTCACCAGTGCTGAGTACAGGAGGACAATCACTGCCCTGCTCCTGCTGGCCACACTATTGCTGATCCAGGCTAGGAATGCCACTGGTCTTCTGGGCCACCTGGGCATGCTCTGGCTCATGTTCAGCTGCTGTCGACTAGCATGCCCAGCACCTGGTACTTTTCTGCCAGGCAATTTTCCAGTAACTCTCCCTCAGCCTGTAGCACTGCATGGGGCTAGTGCAATCCAAGGGCTGAAGCAATCACTTTGCTCGTTGAACCTCGTATGATTTGCCTCAGTGCATAGATCCATGCTGTCCAGATCCCTCTGCAGCAGATCAACATTCCTACCATCTTTGTGCTGCCTGCAGACTGGCTGAGGGTGAACTCAATCTCCTTGTCCAAGTCATTGATAAAGATATTAACCAGGTCTGGCCCCAGTCCTAAGCCCTGGGGAAACCCACTAGTGACTGGCTGCCAAGTGGATGTAACTCCATTTACCAATACTCTCTGGGTTTGGTCATCCAGCCAGTTCTTGGCAAAGGGTATGCTTGTGAAAGCCATGATCAGCCAGTTTCTCCAGAATGTTGTGAGAAATGGTGTCAAAGGCTTTAATTGAGTCTAGGTAGACTTTATCTTTTTTCTTCATTCACTAAGCTGGTCACCTTGACATAGAAGGAGACCAAACTTGTCAGGCAAGTCCTGCCTTTCCTAAACCTGTGCTGGCTGTGCCTGATCCCCTGGTTGTCCTGCCTGTGTTGTGTGATGGGACTCAAGATTATCTGCTCCATGACCTCCGCTGACTGACTGAGCCTGACTGAAGTCAGGTTGTCAGGTGGTATTCTCCCTCTGACTTCTTGTGGATGGACATTATCTTAACTGACCTCCTGTCAACTGGGACCTGCCCAATTAGCCAAGACTGCTGGTAAATAATGGAAGATGATTTGGTGAGCTCTCCTGACAGTTGCCTTTAGACCCTGGGGATGGGTGAATCCCATCTGGCCCCATGGACTTGTGTATCTTAAATTGTGTAGCTGGTCAGTGACCATTTTTTCATGGTTTATAGGACCATCATTCTGCTCTCTGTCTCTGTCTTCCAGCACAGGGTCTTACTGTTCTGAGAGCAACTGTTCTCACTATTAAAGACTGAGGCAAAGAAGGCATTGAGCAACTCAGCCTTTTCCTTGTCCTTTGCCACTATGTTTCCTCCTGCATGCAGTAAAGGATGGAGATTCTCCTTAGCCCTCCTTTTGTCACTGATGTATTTGTAAAAACATTTTTGTGTTTTACAGCAGTAGTCAGATTTAAATTCTAGCTGGGCTTTGGCCCTGTAACAAATGGAACCATTATTGAAATTAAAAGTTTAATGTGTTGTTTGGAAAATACCACCTTCAAAAGCATAAAAATTCCCTAATGTTTCCAAGCAACTGCAGTTGTGTAGTCAGATTTCCAAGATGTGAGTTGTCACCAGTCAGTTGTTTTTACAAGAGACTCTAACCTTTGGTCTTGTATGGTTTACTGTTTAAATACACACACTAACTTAAGTCATATGTTTCTCTGTTACATAAAGGATATCTTGGACATCAAGTAAATTTAGATTTAAGTATCCATAACTAATCTGTTTCATTATGCCACATGAGATGGTTTTTAATAGTTACTTATAAAGAATCAAAAACATTTCGTCGTACTCTTTCGGAAACCTCATCCATCAATGTGACCAAATATGTGTCAGGTAAGATGAGTCCTCTGCCTTAATCACTTGAGTCCAAATTCATACAAAACTTAACCATGCATGCAGCTTGAGTTACCTGAAACACTGAAGTCAGTTGATATTACAAGCTTAAAATGGGATGAGAGTAAGTGCTTTCCTGAGCTAAGTCCTCAAAAAGCCATTATTTTAATGTACTTAAGATAAAACCAGCACATCATCAGAATTTAAAAAAAGAAAATAAATATTTGTAATTGTTTTTTTCTTTCTTGTTTTGTAGGGGCAGAAATTTTTTCCTGTGGTGATTTATAGCTACCAATAACCTTCTACAGTTGTTGCCTTATCAACTTATTATTCTGGCATCTTCTGCTCTTGTTAGTAAACACAGAGCTAAGTACTCCTAATCTCAAGAGAGAGACTTCGTACAGTATGTTCTGTACAAAACTGAAAGACTTGAAGATCACAGGAGAATGTCCTTTCTCCTTACTGACTCAAGGTCACATTCCTGAGGAACATGACAAGGACTGCACAGAAAACAGCTCTAGAGCAGCTTTGCCCATCTGCAAAGAAGTCCATGAAAAAGATGGCCAAGGAAACCTGCCACAAAGGAAAACGAGCAGAAGCAGAGTGTACCTGCACACGCTAACGGAAAGCATCTGCAAACTAATATTTCCTGAGGTAAAAAGATACTAAATAAAACTTAGACAGCATTTAACTATAAATGTTAAAAAAAGCAATCTATGCCAGCCTTTAGATGTAAGCCCTTAAAAGTTGCTTTGGCTTAAAAGTTTGTGTTCTTATGTAGTTCTCAGTAGTTTAAATCCACTTCTATTCCTTCTGGATATAATTTTGCCACAATTTCTATACACGATTCCTTCCACTGTATTTCCCTTATTTGTGCCTTGTATTTGCAACTTTCCACTAATATTTTTAATTGAACTTTTTAGATCCATCTATTTTTGTACCATTTTTTAACATAGAGATATAGGAATAGAAATTGTGCCTTGTTACCTAATTATGTAAATTATATGGTCATCTCATCAGTTCACCTAACTGAATCCAAACTGCTAAGTCCATTAGTCATAATCACAAAAAAATTGAAATTGATGTTTCCATCAGCTGTGATACTAAACTCCTGTCATACTATTTTTAAAACCACTACTCTTCATATTTACCACAAAAATATTCCTATGTCTCTGCTCAGCTTAACTGAAAACCGGCCCAGGCTTTCTTGAGTGGAGATGAATACCATGGTTTATCTCTATAAAAATAATGTGGAAAATGCAGCTCTGTAACATCCAACTCTTAGCCTTGTCTCAAATTCAGTGGGAGGTTTGAAGGAACTGACTGACATATTGGGACTACAAATAACAAATGGACACTTCTGTACACTCATTTAATTACAATTCCATTACTTGGACATTCAGTGTACCTTACTTAAAGTGCTGGAGCCCTGTTAAATATATTTGCAGATCTGGTTATGCAGCTCTTCATCTATTACCCATTCACTAAACCTCTAAAAAATTAAGTTTTGAAAAACTTTTCACCTCTGCTGCATTTATACAGACAGAATGCATCCCTTTAAACCTTTAAACTGATCTCTAAATTTATAAATGAAAATACTTTTAACCCTAAAATGAACTGGCAAAGCACCCTTTCAAGTGTGTCATGATTGCTATATTGCTTTTCTAGTATAGTTCTAGTATAGTTGTTGGTGGGATTTTTAATAACTGGTAATTTTTTCTCTTTAAAGAGTGGTATAAATGTATGCAGTTGCCTATAACATAATTATGATAAGCTAATTCATTATCTGGGACAAAGCTTGGCAAAGTGAAGATACTATGACCATGTACCCTAGGAACCACTGAAATTCAAGGTTATTGTTACTATTTACAATTATTCAAGTCATATGCATCAGAACTTTGTCCAAGTCTGTTCTCATGCTGATTTGGGGTCAAGCCCTAAGCATCTTTCTATTTTTCCATAAAAGGCCATTGCTTGTTTAGAAACATATTTTTCATTGCTTAGAAAATTTACCTGGCTTAAATGTTTTTGAGTAACGTCATCTTCCTTCCATCTGGAAGCTCCAAAACAGGGCTGCATCATGAATTTGAATTGTGACCTTCTCATGGAGACAGCGAGCTATGCATAGAAGTCCAGGACAAAGTGCATCCAAACAACTTTTTGATTAAATTTGGGATATAATGTAGTGCATATTGTTGTTTAATTTGCTTCTTTCTTTACAGAAATATGGAGAACATTGCTCATTTATAAGTAGTGGATTGGATGGCATTCCACTTAGTGTATCAGTTTCTACACAGATGTAATTTATGTTGTGTTTATATACTGTGGTATATGGTATATATACATAGATATGTATATATTTATCTAATTCACTTTAGATTTTTCCTTGAAAAAACATTTCCAGAATATGCCTTTCAAGTGATTTCAAGTGATATTTTCTTTGGTTGTGCAAACTTTCCTCCTGGAAATACAAAAAGTAAAAGATGCAGTAAAAGCTGCTAGTTTCTTCAGGGAATGAGAACCAAAGAAAAGCCTTCCAGCTGAATTCTGTTGTGCCAGTATAGTAGTATTCTATGACCCTGCCTGTGTGGGAAGTTTGGGTTTTGAATATCAGAGACTACATACATATGACAGCTTTACTGGCCCTAACAATTTTAAATACGCATATTTGGAAAATGTTCCATCTGTTTAGATTTTAAGTTAGGAACTGCAGAAGGGATATGGAATCATGGGATTGAAGTATTTTAAGGCAAATATTCATTATGTTCTAAAGTTTGTTTTATTAGAGAATTCTTTCATAAAGGCTGTCTACAATGACTAGATTTTCATCTGGAGGATGTCGTGGCATACACAACAAAAATTATTCTTTTCTTTAAAATAATTTTGTATTCATGGTACTTTGTGGTTTTTTGGGGGGTGGGATTTGTAATAATAGAGAGCTGTGTTAGTTATACTTATTTCTTAGCAGCACTGTCTTTATTGCCATCTGAAAATCTGGAGCTAAAGAACATCACTGTTTTTAAAATACACTACCACTGGTGCACAAGGACTGAGGGTATTAATTGCAGTGGTACTGGAGCTGAAGAGATAAACATAAAGTAAATCTCATAACCACAGAAGTGACATGCTGTTTCTAACAATACTGTCTTGAAAAAGATTGTTAGTCCCAAAGATGGCAAAGTAATTCTGTGTATAGAAATGTATCTCATGATTAAATGTTCAGCAATGATATTGATACATATGACATACTTATTTTTTTCCCCAGTTTGAAAGGCTAAATCTTGCACTGCAGAGAACACTTGCAAAACACAGAATTAAAGAAACCAGGTATGTAGGTGTAATGGGTTTGTAACTAACTTCACTGCAAAAATGTTTTTCAGACAGGAACGGGGTGGTGACTGGGAGTCAAGATTTCTGGAATTTATATTCAATTATCTTGTCAAATTCGTGTGTAACATTTCATGTAACGTAACCTAGTGATGATTTGGTTTGTTTTAAAATATTCACAAATATTTACATCGCTCACAAAGTTTACTTAATGGGCAAATTGTACAGGGAAACAAAGCAGGCAAGGACTTTGGAGGAGCTTGGAGACTGCTTAGCATAGATGGAATAATAGGTTGTATATGGATCTAGCCTGGTGTTTCTAAGATCCCAGGGAGAGTTCGAAATACAATTAGTATTATACAAAAGAATTTGGTTTCTGATTCCGTGAACACTCATACACTACAGATACTGATTGGATGTTTTCCTGAGCTCACTTGGGTTCTGGTTTCTGTTGCTGAGGAACTCAGCTCAATTTTCAGCATTTCTTAGTACTAATCCAAAATTAATCATTTGAGCTTTGTAGAAAGTAAGAATTTCTTAGCATCTTATGATATAGTTTATTGAATGCATCTGAAAAAAATAAGCCCATCAGTTTAAATCTGCTTTCTGAAGTGAAGAAAAATAATCAAGTTGGAAACTACACTGTTGCTCACCATGATAAGAATAGATAATTGCAGTGTCTCTTTTAAATTATACTTGATATTTTTAAAGCACTTTACATACATTGACTGAACCAAAGATAGAGGGTCAGATGTGCTTTGCAATTGCTGACTGGCTTATTGCTATGAATGTTTTCCCATTCTTTAATTATGTGTTGCTTCCCTGGAATATTAGTTGAAAAGAAAAAATTACTGTGATATTCTGAAGGAGGCAATAATGCCAATGTAAAACAAATCTAAATATCTGTTGCTTTTGCATGTAAATATACCTATGATATTCCAAGTGATACATTCAGAAGGCATATACCAGGAGTTTATTGCTTAAATGAAGGTTAATCTAAGCTATATGTTGTTCCCATAACTTGGAGTCAAACATTCAGTTTGACATTTATTGTCCTCAGAAAACTCAGAAGGCTGCAGTTTTATGTCAAATTTCTTAATTACTACCAATGAACAAGTAATTTTGTAGTTAATAGTTGTTATTTGTATTTCCTCTCTAAGCAGAAATATGTTCTCACCTCTTTTGAATTAAATGCACTGTAATTCCAAAAAATGCTTGAATATAAATTCCAATTATATTTTACAATATGTTAGGAAATGTAGTTTTAGCTTCAAGAAAGAAACACAAATCAAACAAAAAGCCAAGACTGCTAAAATGACAGGCAATAGCATTTGCCTGAAATCCACAACTGGAGTTCAGACCACCAAAACTTTTAATTTACCAGAAATGCATAGGATAATCTAAGATCCTACCAAGACCCGCTTTTGAATGAATTAAAAACTTCCTCTTTGATCAGCAGAACTAGGTCTATACACTTTAAAGACAAGGTAGGTAACTTCTGTACTTACTGCCTTTACAGCATTTATCTTTATAATTTAGGGGTTTTATTATATTTTTATGATCTTTGCAGAAAAACTGGTGATAGAGAAGATTTTGAAAAAATAATCAGTGATCATGCTAATGCAGCAGGTAATTTAAGCTTGTTTAATAATATGCATATAAATAAAGTATCTATTCTATATATATGTAAATATATATATATCTTTTGTAGAAATTAGTCTTGTTACTTATATGTTACTTCATATTCAGAAGAATGTTGTGTGTTAGAAGAGAACTCTATAATTTGTAATATATAAGTCTGCTACATTGGTAATAGATGTATATTAACTTTTCCTGGAACCGAAATATGGTCTTCTGTACACTTAAACTGGTCCAGGCACACAGTTGGTCTGTGAGAGGCAATACTTTTTCAAAGGATTCCCAGTAATAGTTGGAGAAATTGAACATTTCCAACAGTCAGTTTGCATGCAGCTATCTGGGTAAAACAAATTTACTAGCAAAGATGTGAGCCATTCAGTGCCAATCAGCCTCAGTGCTCCAGAATATTCCTAGGGTCATTTAATGTACTGGATTACGCATAGTACTTATATCTGCAGACCTATTTTATTTGTATGCTAGTTTTTAAACTTATTTTACTCCTTTATATCAATTATGGGAGCTGAGTTAAATCTTGTGTGAAAACTTGTGTCCATTTTGTCTACATCTCTACAAAGAACACTGAATCTTGGATCTTTCTAAACTGCAACCAATTGTCCCCGCATTTCCAGGCCTTGTTTCCAGGACTCCTAAATTAGAGTGCCCTCAGATGTCAACATCAGGGAAAGAGATTGACTGTTTTGGAAAAAGGTGTGGAGGTTAGCCTGTGATTCAGGATGATGAGTGCAGTTCTGACTAAAATGTGGTTCTGTGCAGGTGTTCCCGTGGAGTCTCTACGGGAATCTCTTGGTGAAGAACTATTCAAAATATGCTATGAAGAGGATGAACACATATTAGGGGTTATTGGAGGCACCCTAAAGGACTTCTTGAATAGTTTCACTACTCTGCTAAAGCAGAGTGGCCACAGCCAAGAAGCAGGAAAAAAGGACAGACTTGAAGATGCCTCCATATTATGCCTGGAGAAAGATCAGGACTTCTTAAATGTTTATTATTTCTTTCCTAAGAAAATCACAAGTCTTATTCTACCTGGTATCATTAAAGCAGCAGCTCATATTTTGTATGAAACTGAGGTGGAAGTGATGCTCATGCCTCCTTGTTTCCATAATGACTGCACTGAATTTGCTAATCAGCCTTATTTGCTGTATTCTATACAAGTCAAAAGTGCAAAACCTTCCTTATCTCCATGTAAACCACAGTCTTCACTTGTGATTCCTGCCTCTGTGTTCTGTAAGACTTTCCCATTTCATTTTATGTTTGACAAGGATATGTCAGTTCTTCAGATTGGAAATGGGATAAGAAGACTTTTGACCAGGAGAGAATTTCAAGCTAAGCCAAATTTTGAAGAGTATTTTGAAATTCTTACCCCCAAAGTAAGCTGCACTTTTAGTGCAATAATGACCATGCTAAATATGCAGTTTACTGTACGAGTTAGAAGATGGGAAAATACTGATACAAAACCATCCATGGTAAGAGACTTTTTATCACCATTACTTCTACGAGGAATTTGTTTTTTTCAGATGGAGTTAAAATAGCCACAAAACACAGTGCACTTTGCATTTTCTACATCTGAACATCTGATACAACTGAATAATAATGATTTAATTAGTCAAATGTAATTCAGATTCTGAAGAATGTTTAGTCAAAACTCTGCTTTAGGACTTATACATAAGTAAAATCTGACTGCAAATTTGATTTTAATTCAATGATTTGAAATACTGAGATAAAACCAGAGATATACCATGCTGCTGAGAATAAGGGCATCTTCAGCACAAAGATAGTAGCAGGAATACATTTAACAAAGAGCTTCTGAGTCATTTGGGACCAGCTCTAGATTTGGAGAAAATAAAAATATGTTTTCTGTGCTCATTCAGCCTTTGGTGTTTTGGTATCTTTGATACTCCGATATTTTCATCAGATACAATCACCAAAGGTTTCACTTAGTTTCAGCTGATGGGATTACAACTATCTTTGCTGAAGCTGGGTCTGTGACAAATGGCCTGGGACAGCAAAGAACACTGAGTATTCAGTGATTGTGTTCATTCGTTCCTGGTCCCATCTGAATTCCAGTTTATATACACCTGAGGCACTCGGAGTTGAATTACCAGCTCAGACTCAACACTCCAGAAACTTAAATGAAGAATAGTTAAAGACTTTTATCCAGTTACTAATGTAGCTATTAAAATCTGTACCTATTTCAGCTCAGATCCATTTCTGCACAAGAATGGTTACAAGGGGTAGTAGAGTCGGCTTTGATTTTGCATGTACTTTCATATGCAAATGTCTATTAGTAAGGAACAGATTTTATTTAAAAAGTGGACTTTCAGGGCCGTGTTAAGCTAGGCTCTGCAGTACCTTTCACATGACACAACTGACTACAGAAGGGATGTAAAAACACTTCACACAAAATAGTTTTCTTTTTTAGACTATTAAAATTGGATATTCCTGCCATTTCTGCCTTTAATTTTAAATTGCAGTGAGTACTGAACATCCTATGATAAAACTGAAGCAGATTTTCTTACTTTATCTTATGGAGAAAGTGGTGAATGAACTAGTCATTAGGAGAAATTTAGAGGCCACTGTAGTAACACATTTTATCAATTGCTGAAAATAAACAAAATTATTCTTTTTGGTTTTCTTTACTCCCTAAGATAAACTGATACTCAGACATGATTAGGTGTTTATCCTTAAGCTGGAGTCCTCTTGTACTACAGGGCTGAATAAAAATGAACTTACTTGATGGCTCTGTGATTCAGCACCCCATGTTTTCTCTAAGCAACCAAATTAAAATGTAAGGACTATGGACCAGTTTTAGCAAAATGTATTTTCTCTGAAACTTCTTGCTTCTAGACCATTGCCATGCATGTTTTGCATGAATTCTTGTTTCTTTAACTGTTTCAGGTAATGGATCTTAAAGGCCAAATGATCTATATTTTTGAATCCAGTGCCATTCTATTTTTGGGATCTCCCTGTGTGGACAGACTAGAAGATTTTACAGGACGTGGATTGTACCTCTCTGATATTCCCATTCACAATGCTTTAAGAGATGTTGTTCTGATAGGAGAGCAGGCCAGAGCCCAGGATGGACTGAAGAAGAGGTTAGGAAAGCTAAAAGCAACCCTTGAGCAGGCCCATCAAGCACTTGAAGAAGAGAAGAAGAAGACTGTAGATCTTCTGTTTTCAATTTTTCCTGGAGAGGTTGCTCAGCAGCTGTGGCAGGGACAAGTTGTACAAGCCAAAAAATTTAATAATGTCACAATGCTTTTTTCTGACATTGTTGGATTCACTGCCATCTGTTCTCAATGCTCACCTATGCAGGTTATCACCATGCTTAATGAGCTTTATACTCGCTTTGATTACCAGTGTGGAGAGCTAGATGTCTACAAGGTACACAGTTCATTGCTTTTCTTTGGGATTCTGGGGCAGGAAAGGAAATTAAGACTAAGTGGGACAGAAGATAATAGAGGTCTATAAATTATTTTGCCATAAACCTTTTTCAAATGAAAGACAAAAATCACAAAACAAACAAACAAAAAAAGTCAACACTAACAATTGTTCACTCAGCCAAGAAAGAAGCCCATCAAAACTTACGATTTAATTTTAAAAATTAATTTCAATGTGACTCAGGAGTAAACAGGTGTTTGATGTAGCTGGGGGTGCCTGACAGTAAATAAAAAAGGAAAAGTATTTTAGAATTATGCTCAACAATAAATAAAAGTTGTGCAATTTATTTTTTTTTTTGCATGATACTGAAGGATTTGTCCAGTACTTAAATAATTTTGCAGGAAAACTAAGACTTGGTCATAAATTGTAGGTAGCTACAATTCTTACTGAATTTAGGCTGTTCTTTTATATTTATCAAACAGTCTAAGAGTAAGGAACAAATATGCCTGTTTTAGGTTGAGACTATTGGAGATGCCTACTGTGTTGCTGGAGGCTTACACAAAGAAAGTGAAACACATGCTGTTCAAATAGCACTGATGGCCCTGAAGATGATGGAACTGTCAGACGAGGTGGTGTCTCCCCATGGAGAGCCTATCAAGGTAATCTATTTTATTTTTTTTATTATTTGGTTAAACTAGGCTTTTTTGTTTGTTTAGTCGCTTTCTGGGATTTTGCCTCAAGGAAATTTCAAATCATTGTATTACCTTAGAAAATGTGGAGAATCAAGTGACCGTGGCTGGAGAAGATAACCTTTTTAGATCTGTGGATGAGAGTTCTGTGGAGTGGTAAAGGTGAAAAAGAGATCTGAAAATCAACCCAAAAGACAAACGCTTTGAAGTCAGTAGGTGCAATCTGACATGCTGCAGTTCTTGTGTCAGTAGCAATAAAACTGTCAGTGGCATGGAATAGTCTCTTTTCTAAGGAAATGACTAATCCTCTTTCCAAATTAGACTTCCAAGTCTTTTGACGCAGAAGCTATGAATATGAATGCCCAAAGACGTTCTGATTGTAGTAATCCACATATCTTTGGAGGATTCCATTGCTGTTCTTGTTTCACAGTCAGATACTGAACCACCATAAGATAATAGTGTTAATGCCGTCAAAGCAACTGTTAAATTCAGTGGTAATTATATTTATGGCTTTTTTCAGTGAGAACTTATACATGTACTGAAATTTTCATATAGGATTATCTCTTACTGAGAAAGAAACAGAAAGGACTGTGTGCATGAAAAATGATGTGGACCTTTAATGTAGTTCAAATGGCCTGGAATGGCATCCTATTATGTTAATAGAGGTGTTTCAGTTCATTATGTCTTTCATTTGCTAATTTTTAACATTTTTCTGTTCGTTTTTTCCTCCAGGAAGCTTAATGGCTTTGTTTTGGTTTGTTTTTTGTTTTGTTTGTTTGTTTGTTTTTAAATTTCAGATTAAGGAATATTTGTATTCCAAGACAAAGAAAAAGGTTATTAAGAGGATTATATGCTTCACATTGATCACAGAGAACAGTAGTATTGTATTATAAATAAATGTTGTTCTTTTTGTCTCTTTGTATTTTGCGTTATCAAATTAAGTTACACTTAAAAAACCTGGAAACATCCTGGCAATATTATAGCAAATGTATAATTTACATGCAAATGCTACTACTGCATTTTAAAAAATTATTTTAAAATAAGGATAAAAAGTTCTATTGTGTTAGTACCTAACAGAAGCTTCTTAGAAGGAAACTATTTTTAATGAAAGCATGCATCTATTTTTATTAAATGCTTCATGAAAACATTGGCTATTGTGCAAAGCAAAAAATTTGTCACACAACCTACTGTAATTTTACATATCAATTGCCAAGAAAAAAAGGTGTGACTGCAAATGACATACTCTGAATCAGACTTGCATTTTGATGAATGTATTTCAGCCATCTTTACAATGTGGGTGGATTTTGGTTTTGTTGCAGGTTTTTCTACTTTTACACTCAAAGTTAGAAATTGCAACTTCTTCATAATGGTATGATACTCTCTTGATATATAAAGAGTAGTATGCAGAGTAGACATACAAGCTTTCTGACATCATGCCATTATTTAGTCAGAATGCTGTTCTGAAGAAAACACCTCTACACATGTATAATGCAGATGAGAGAAAGAACATAGTTCAAAAAACCCCACCCAAAAGAACCATAGAAAGCAGCAGCAGCTAAGTAAGAGTGAAAAATCTGAGTATGAGCTAAGTTCACAGCAGTTCACAGTCATATTTTAATATGGTAGGATTATTGACTAAAAATGCAGCACAAGATAAACTTCAGCTAGTTCCCTCTCCATGAGCAGTAATGACCAGAGTACAGATATTTTAAGGACACTCTGCTAGCTTTGTTTTTTTTTTTTAATAGCTCTTTCTTTACTTCTTTTATTTTTAAATGAAGAATAATTTATAAACTTGACTTTACCAATTCTACCTAATAATTCTGTTTTCTTTCTTTTGTTTAAAGATGCGTATTGGCCTTCATTCTGGATCCGTCTTTGCTGGAGTTGTTGGGGTTAAAATGCCTCGTTATTGCCTTTTTGGAAATAATGTGACCCTTGCCAATAAGTTTGAATCTTGCAGTATACCTAGAAAAATAAATGTTAGCCCAACAACTTACAGGTATGGTGCAGTATGTAAAATGTCCACCTGCAGTAGTTACTGTAGTAGTCTTTTATAGTCCTGTTGTTTTTTTGGCTGGGTAAAATAAGCAAAATTATAAGTTATTTTTACTTTTTAAGGAAGTTCTGTTGCCCTCACAGTAGCCTGGACTGTAGTCTGTTGTTCCTACTCAGCTTGTACCCACTGCCACATATCTGATAATGCCTTGTGGCAAGGTTCTGCATCCAGCATCAGACAGAGAATTTGGCACAGGATCCTTCCTGACAACCCCTGCAGCATGTGTTATGTGACACAGACGGTGCCAAGCTTTAGATGATCTTGGATAGGTGATTTAGAAAAAGAAGCACAGGTATTAGAGCACAGAGAAAGTAACCCTTTTGATCATGCACTCTGAAAACACAGAGAGAGCACTAGCATCACCAGTGCTTATGTATGTCAACATAAGCAATGCTGGCCAACAGTGATTGTTTTTCCATTCTACTCGTACGGAAAATCATTTTGAATCATACCTCTAGAAAACAGGCAATTTGATTAATGGGTAAACCATTGTTGTTTTTGGGGGGATTTTTTCTGAGTGTATGAGGTGTTAACTTCCTTTCTGTTTGGTGGGTTTTTTTAAAATTTTGATTCATTCACCAATTCTAAAGACACATGGATAACATTTTGGCACCTTGCACAACTCCTGTATATTGCAATAATTGTTTGAAAGCTTTGGTATGAGTATCCAACATTTATCCCTACAGATTAGCAGTCTCTGTTTCAACCTGTGAAAAAGCAAATAATATTAGAATTCATAAGAGGGCCTGAATAGTTTCATTAATAAGGTTCACAGTATTTTCTTCTTTGATATACTAATTGTGATGCATTTGATGTGTGGAGGGATGTGAGCTAGCTTTCAGCATTAAACAATTTTTGAAAATATTTACAACAAACATAGGACCTACATGCAAAACATTGACAAGACAAAAAAAGAAGAGATGCTGTTATTTGCATTGATGTGCAAGTTAATAGATTATCAAGGTTACCACGTAAACATTATTTTTAATATTTCCAGTAAATAGCTATAAAAATTAAATTGGATTCTCCCTGCCATACATGAAGAGTTATTGAATATCTGCACTTCTTAGTGACTGCTTTTTAATTGAGATGATTCATTTTTGTTTTAGGTTGTTAAAGGAATACCCAGGTTTTGTGTTCACACCACGCTCAAGGGAGGAGCTTCCACCAAATTTTCCAAGTGATATTCCTGGAATTTGCTATTTTCTGGATGCTTATATTCAAGGAACAAACTCACAGACTTGGTTTCAAAAGAGAGATTTGGGAGATGGCAATGCCAATTTTTTCGGTGAGGAAACAGGAATAGACTAAATTGTGCATTCACAAGTGTATAGAATAAATTTATAAATATTTGGATTTTTTTTTGGTATAAATTGAAAATTTTTAAAACTGTATGAAACATGAAAGCACTTTAGATTGTTAACACCTGAAAGCCAGTATTAAAATTTCAGGAAGTATGTCACTGACTACTTTTTATTTCTCCTTTGCATAAGGAATATAACTGCTAAAGTAATGTTGCAATGTCACTGTTGGAAATGCTACTATAAACTGTATTTTCCCTGTGGTAATTTGTAAGTGCTACAGTTCTCTCTATACTGAGAATTCTAGATGTATTGTATATGCAGTTTGTCAGGAAATGTAATGTGCAAGTGATGCAGCCACATGCAGTGTTGTGAGCTGGTGCTTATCAATGACTATGAAAATGTATTTTCTTAGAAATTCCATGAAAAAAATTCCATTAAAATATTGTCATTGCCATCACATACTCCTTGCAGTGCATCATTTGGGCCCCATCCTAGAAGGCTGCTGACCATCTTCTCACACTGACTGGTCAAAGTATGAGGGTGCTCAGCATTTTCTGGATCAGGCTGATAATTGTAGCTAATATACATGCATAGCAGAATTGCTGCTTACTGTCTCAAGAACTTTATTTTGTGTATAAAATTAATATAGATTCAAACACTGTATAATCACATACATCTCTGTAATCATCAAACTCTTTTAGTTCTTAGGGTTTTTAAAGTACTTAAAAATAATAATATCCACTTGTTATTATGTATTACAGCAATAAATGTTTTCTTTTTGTTGGCATTTAAATTTGAAATGTTTTAACAGAAGTGTAATAAAATATGCTTTGGAATGTTTGCTTAGAAATGGAATTCCAGTCAGACTGGAAGCACACCAGCTTAAAGCTCTGATCCTTATTTGAGGACGCAATGTGGGTGTGAGGTGCTATGGAAATGCCCATTGCATGCTCGCTCTGAAGTTGTCAGGGGAATTATCAGGTGAACAGAGATGCTTTTAAACATCTGAACACATTTACAAAGATTAATACTACTACAGTCCAAGCTTTTCTGTTGTGACTGATGGAATATGAGTGGAGAATTCTGAAGGCTTTGCCTGTGGACCTGGCAGAAGAGAGTTAGTTAAGTGTTCTGAGTTTAGGATTTTGCCTCTCTAAGTAACAGATCCATCTGCCCAGAAATTCCTCTATGCTGTACAGTTTGATCCCAGCTGCAGGCTGGAGAACTGCAACTCTTATACACATACTACTACTCCCATTTGTATCAGGTACTGTTATTCTGACCTCTTCTGTTCCTGGGGTTTGACATATCATGCCATAAAATTCTCTTCAAGCCACTTACCACTAAATCAGATTTTGGTCTCAATTTACAGGGAGCAATTACATTAGACTAAGGTACCATTGTGTTCATTTTCTGATCTTGACTGGTGCATTCTGAAGCTCAATAAACCATTTTATTCTAGTTTTTAGTAGAAATTCATACATGTAGCATCAGAATCTTGAGAAAAGAGCTTAGAATGGACTAGAATTAAGAATGTTTTAAAGCCATATTGCAATTCAGATTTCCTGTAAGGAGCATTTGAACAAAACTTGAACCATTGAATCCTTCTTCAGGTCTACTATATCCATCCAAGATGGTTAGAAATAGTTCTGTGGCACAAAAATGGAACCAGAAAGTCTGTGTATTATAAATAAACACATCTATCTTGCACACACCAGATATATATATATACATGTATATATACATACATACAGGCACGTGTATTTGTGACACTTTAGACCACAGTGTTTCAAGGAAACAAGACCTATGCAAATCTTGGAGACTGATCTTTCCAATATATTGGTCGGACAGTTCTATTCTATTGAGAGAAATACCCAGGGGTTAGCAGTCCCATGTGTGTATCCCTGGATATAGAAGATGGGGAGTATTTATGTTATTAAACCAGAAATTACTGAGGTCAGTATGAATCTATCCATCTCTGTTAAGAAATAAATAGACTTTTAAATAAAAAGGATTTATTTCTCATATCAACCAAATAGGAAGTACGCTTAGGAGGGAATTTCCTTTTGTCCCTAGAAGACAAGTATTGCTGACTGGATGAGGGCCATGATCAAAGCCAAATTCCATATCAATCTGTCATTAGATGGGATGTTCATCATGGCAGTTCTTGATAACCTTCCTTAGGTGACAGCCTTTGGGAAGAATTCTGATAGGGTGCTTTAGTCTACACAGAAGGCAACATGCTTGAGCCTCAGTAAAGTAAATAGGATTTAGGCACATATTTAAAACAAAGATACATGGAAATGCTTTAAACGTACTCATGTTCAAACCTGTTCTACAATAAACCCCCCATAAATCCATTTAGCTTTAAACATAATTTAAGAATTTAGGTCTCACTGTAGATGTTTCTCTGTTTAAATTCTTTTGCTGAATAAAAATGCATTTAATAAGGGACAAATATTTTAACTGATCTTTTCACTTAGATCTAAAATATTCCTTTCACCTTTTAACTAATCATTTCATTTAAATTGAAAAGAAGGAATCAGAAAGCTAATAAGCAGATTGTTGAGATAAACGGAAGGCAATTTAACTGATGCAATACTGGGACATTTTGGAAGAAAATAATAGAGTTGGTTTTAAGTTGATCTCTTCTGTAGTATAGTGTATGATATTGTGAAAATTTTCAGAGACTATATAATGCTATTTATATGAATATAAAAATACCTTAGTATTATGTCCAGAAACAGTTTTCTTATGTGTAAAATTTATTTTATTAGTTCATGAAGATTCTGCGTGGCTGATTCCTATTCACATTTACACTGCATGATGGAAGATAACATTCTTATCCCTGAAGTTTCTTTGCCAAAGAAGTGTAAATGGCCCTTAAAATAAAAAGTGGGTTAACATTGACATAGCTAAAGTGAAAACTATACCAAAATAATTAAAATAATTTTATTTCATTCAGGCATGACCTGATAAAATTTCAGGAGGATGTCAGAAAAAAATTGCATTGGTGGTGTCAGAGGAAGTGCAATTAGTGTGGAGCTGATGCTTTCTTTCTCTCTGAACTACTGTGCAAAACCGGAGCAAAGAGTCACAGAAACCGACAGAACAGTGAAGCACACAGATAACTGAGCCCCTGGGACAGATCTACTTCTTCCTGGGAAAACTTGTGAAGGCAGAATTCAGACTTCCCCCAAACCAGTTTATTTCTTCCATTATTTTATTTTGCAGTCTTTCCAGAAACAGCAGCAATTAATAGTACAGGGGGAAAAACCATGGCCATTTAGTATTTCCAACTAAAGGCCATGAGAATTAAGGGAATTGCTGCTGAATCTTGGCAAGGGGACCCTTTTCCAAACCCCACCCATCCTACAACCTAGGAGGCCACTCCATTTGCTAACATTTTTTTTAATGCCTGCCCATTGTTTTCCAAAAGTGGTGGGAGATTTGCTTCCTGCAACAGCAATGACTTTTGTGGCTGTTTGCCATAGAGTGTACAAGGTACTGAGTTGCTTTCAAAGCTCTGCTCCAGTTTATTTTAAGTCAGCTTGGCAGAAACCAAACTTAACTTTCTGAAATCAGAGCTAAGACTTGCTTTTCTGCCTCTAAAGTCTGCAAGGTATGTGCCATAACAGTCTTTTCAGACTACTAAAACCACCTCTGATTGTGTGGCTGCTTACAACTGCATAGGAAAAAAAAATCAGATATAAGGTTTGTTTGGGTTTTTTTTAATTAAAATTTTTCCAGTCCCGTCTGCATATGCTCACTGGCAGTCCTTTCCTGCAGAGCATGGAGGGAGAGTAAAAGCCACTATCTTAAGTTATTGAGCATTGCTCTGATACTGAAACACAAATAAAAGAAGAAAGATAATCAATGAATCTGGAACCTTTGATACATCCAGATGCAACAGTTTAAAGATACGTACTCTCCAGAGAACAAGCAGTAAGATCTGAATGTTAAATATGAAGTCAGGGTGGAACATAATCTGGAAAGCCAGTCAAAGAAATAATAAACTGTGAAAGAATCTGAAATGAAGTAAACAACCTTATAAAGATGTGTGTCTCATCTGCTTCAGCATACTTTTGATGCTGAAAGCAAAGTCAAGCCAGTGGCTTCCTAATATAAATGTAAATGAGCACATTGCTTTGCAGCCTTGTTATAAGATGGCCTTTGAAGATCTGGGCTAAAATTGCTTATTTCTTGAACAGTACGAAATTACATTTTTTTGTGCCACTACAGCAAATGCACATCCTGCACACACAGCAGCAGGTAGTGGGAAATAACCAAGAGATTAAATGCAGTAGCATCCCAAGGATGTGAAAAGGGCTGGATTCAGACATAGAAACATTTCCACTCTTCTGATTTTTCAGCCCAAGAAAAACCTGCCAAGGAAGCATCAAGGATAAAGGCATTCCCAGGGGCTTTGGACAACAAGTACATGAAAACAAACATAAGTCTTTTTCCACTGACTGCAGATGATGTTGGGGAAAATTTGAACCTATGATTAGTTCGCTCTGCATGGCTAAGATTACATTCCTCTAATGGGAGCATGCAATGGAGCTCTCTGTTTCCCAAATGTACACGTTACTGCATTACAGAACAGCATGGAAACATTGAGGGTTGGTTCATCACAGCTTGTCAATACTAGGACTGAAAAATGAATTTAATGGTATAGGGGAACACTTTATAATGGCATAGTAGAAATAATGAATCTTGCTGAAGTGAATTTAAGAGGGTGTTTCTGCACCTGAAAAGTATTGTTATGACAATTCCAAATGCCAGGTCTCAGACCATAACTAGAAATACCTATAGTTCAGTCCATGACAGTAAAGTAACTCCATCTTCAATTAGTGGAATCTAGCAATACCATATAAGGCAGTCTTTTTATTCAGGACTTCAGTAACAAAATAAACTGTAAAAGCAAAGTCCAAAGTAAAAATGCAACTTATTAAAATACTTCCTTTGCTTTATAGTGCTTGTGCATTAACACAAACCATATTGAGCTGAATGTTGCTGTCTCAGCAATTGCCCTTTCACACAACATAAAAGGATCCTATGCTACTTTTTGCTTTCATGAATCTCACCAAGAATTGCCAGATGAAGTCAGCATCTCAAATCAGGAAGAAACATGTTAAAATAAAACATGTATAACATGTACCTAGTGCATGAGGGTCACCAAATGGGAATATGATTGAGTGCTATAGTGGAATAAGCTGAAGACTTTATGGAAGTGTATCAGATACAATCCAAATGTTTGTGTGATGTGAATAATGCATGTGGCAGAACAGTCCTGATACTGACATAGTTGGGCCTTGGAAACACAGCTCAGTATTAACAGCTTATTTTGACATTTATCTTATTGACTTCGGGCCTCTTCTTCCAGATGAAAGCAAATCTTCTTGCCTAAGACTTCCAGAGAGTCTTGACTGAGCAAGTGTCTGGAACAGAGCCTTGTTCTTCTCAGAAAATCACTTGGTTGAATTTGTTAATTCAGCATCTTCCAGACTTTCAAAAGGATACCTTTTTTTTTGGAAAACAAAATCAATCACTGCCTGCTTTTACTCTGACCATGCTGTTTTCACTTCACATTTTACAAACCTCACCTTGACTAGAACTTCCATTTGTATTATAATGGGTTAATCACAAGAACAGCCTGTAAATGCAATCTACCAAATCAGAAGGCAATTTTATATTTATCTAAGGCAATTTTGACATTTGTAGATCTCAGTACTTTCAAAAAAGTGTCACTCAGGTACACAAAATCCACCTTCTGAAAACCATAACCAAAAATAATTTCATATAACCTCTCTAATACTTCATGACCAGAAGGGCTTACTCCATATAAAA